ATTCCTGCTCAATCTAAGTCGATAACCTGACCATCTCTTTCTTGTTTGGGGTTTAACTAACGAACACGAAAGTTCCCGCAGTTGTTTCTGCAAAAGCCCGTTCAGATTTCAGCATTAGCTTTATTGTTATTTCATCCAACTCTTTGAAAAAAATAATGGTGATAGATTTTGCATCTTGTGATAATGAATGCAAAATACTTTCAAATTTGAATCGATCTACCTTGCTACATTAATTTAACGTTCATCAAATTTCGAAAAAACTGTTGTACCTAAATAAGCGATGCCTGAAAGAAACCTCTTGTCCATCAAGATTAAAAATAATGACAATTATAAAAGGAAGCTACAATATTTACATATTTTAAACATTTTACCATACAAGAAACATTACATAATGTATCCGAGAGATAATCTCAAGATTATCAGACCTGAGTTTTTCACTGCCAAGTTTTGAAACGCATAATAAAAATGTGCATTATATCTTTTATAACTGCCTTCATCCACTGGACGTTTAGATACTATGACCTAAGCCTAACTAGAATAGAGATAAAAGAAATAAGTCCTCACGAAGTATATTTTTGCATACAAGAAAAAACCATCCAAGAATAAGAAACTTCTTTTATGTTGGATAGCTAGCAATAGATAAGAATTTTAATATGCATTTAGGTCCTACCGCATTAAATTTTGCTGATTTTTTTCAAAAAGTAATTGCCAAAGTGAACCTTAACGAGAACATTTTGATTTAACAAATGTATGCATGTACATTTTCGGCTTTGGCTTACCGAGATGCAAAAAAACATCCACAAGTTTTACCTCTAACGAGCGACCAAAACGCAAAGACTTTCCACCACTTTGCCCGTACTACTTACTGCTATTCTATTCAACGCTAAATAAGGGTAAAATAAACAAAAAAAAAATACTTGCACCGAAACGCCAAAAGTTCTTGGCGGACACGTTAGCTGTTGAAAAATTTAAATCTCTGAATAGCTGACAGAAATACATGTTTAAAATTTTCTGAAAGTTACATAATGCTTCCTATTTCTGATAAAAAAATTAATTGACGATTATCAACCGATAGATATTAGATTAAAGTATGATTCCATTGTGTATTTTCTTTTATACCCCGATTTTCTTTGCCTTAATTATTTACATGAAGAGATAATCATGCTTATAGTCAATGAGCATTATCAATTGCATTCAAATCCGTTAAGCCATTCGTGTTTGAAGATTTAATAAACACATACAAGCAACCTTGCGCGTCCATTATCCTAATGCGATTAGGATTGATCACGTGGGTTGGCGAAGGCATGCAAAGATAGGCGGTAGAGGCGACATTTCTTAAAGGTATCGGTCGGGCCGAAGCCATGTTTCCAGACCATTGGTTTCGTTTACAACACGCTGTGCCAGAGTGGTCTCGGCCCCTGTCAATAACGCTCCATTACCTGCACATTTTGGGGGCGGTTCACGATTTTCCTCAAGTTTTCGTCTCCCTCTCCTCGGCCTAGTGCAGAAAGCTGCTTTAGAAATCACCGCTTACTTTGTTTCAGTTTAACTAATGACATAAGCTTTTTAGTATGAAGAATCACATTCGAATATTATATAGGTACACATCGTTAATACTATTTCAAAGAAACCTATTATGTTCAAGTCAAATTTGCAACTTATCTAACCATCGGAAACATACATAAATTAGAGTATGCATTATAATTTTTTTCACTTAAAGACGTAATCTATTTTTTATGTGGGATAAACTAATATATATTCCCTATACATTTGCGGTTGTGTATGGCGTCCAGTGCAGATAAGAGTCAATTAATCAACTTTATTAAGAGCCAAAGTTATCTAATATGAGAAGTAATACACAGTAGTAATGAAGATTCTCTTATGCGGACAACTTCATTCGCAGAAAGAAATCATCGGAACAAAAATTGTCATCATCATAACGTATTGTTTTCTTGATTTTACGCGAATATTATACGTATTAAATGAAACTAGTTTTAAACGAGATAAAATCCGTAGACTAGTTTCATTTAACATCATCATAACGACTTGTACGTAATGAACTCGTAAGTTGATAAACAAAAGTTTTCCCCGATGAATAGCTCCGCCGATAGTATAATTCTTAGCCTTCATATGTAAGTAAATTTTGAACGGATATTGTTTTCTCATCCATCATTAAAAGTTAAACGAGGTCAGGATTAACTGACGCAAAAAACCGTACTTTAAGCTGTCACCGTATGAAAAAAAAAACATATTTAAATGTGAAATTAATAAAATAACCGGTCAAGTGCGAGTCGGACCCGAAGGGTTCCGTACTACGTATTATCTATAAAAACGGCAAAAAATCACGTCTCATGTATGTGAACTTCAATACTGTTTGTTAAAGCGGCAACAAAAATACATAATTTAAATATCACGGTATATCTAAATAGAGCTGAGTGATAGACGGACGGACAGACAAACAGACAGTCAGATCAACAGCGGAGACTTAGTAATAGGATCCCCTTTTACCCGTTGGCGACGGAAAATGAGCTAAAATGGCGTGAAAATGTCGGCAAGCATTAATGAAAATGCGTAATAAAAATTAATAGGTGTCGAGATTTTCACGTTGTAAGCACATTAGCCGCTTAGCTTCTGAGCTATGTCGGTTAACTTTGTTCAACTGCGGATGTCTTCGTTGCGAACTCTGTCACGCAGAGAAATACCGAGCATAGCCCGCTCCATAGCTCGCTGAGCGACTTTGAGCTTCCTCATATTTATTATTCAACTATTCAACTCAAAATTACATTTCATTTTCAATTGAAATTAGCACTAAAACAAAATCCAAAATTTCCCCATATCGTCGTTTAAATACAACGCCAATTTTAACTTTTCTATCGCATATTCTAACTGAACTATCAGGGCTATTTACAAACGGGTACGCTTAGGTAAACCCATGCGGACAATAAACTGGGCGAAGCAGTTTTATCGGTAACATATGTGGAGCTTTTAGGGAACAATAGCAGAAAGCGTTTCCGAGCCATCAACACGGTCCAATCCATCGGGCCCAGAAATTCGTGACTATTGCGCGTCACTGCCCCGTCTTATCTTATTATTGCCTATCCCTGTCTCCCAGTACTCCTCAGGCGTAATTAGGGTACGACCTTTACGAAGCAATTGTGTTATTTAGTGTTCATTAGACAAATTATAGCAATAAACTTTATTCGGAAAAGGTCTAATAGCAATTCCATTTGTATTTGGTATCGACACCGCGCGGTGCCTGTTTTGATGGGAGAAATAATTAAACTTTTTAATATTCGACCGTAAATTTGTATTCAATTATATCTACTTATTAAAATATGTAGAAAAAGTGCGAAAAGATTGTCGCCGCTGTGGGAATCGAACCCACGTCTTCGGCATTCGCGGCCTGACGCTCTAGCCACTGAGCTAAACGGCTGATGACCACACCGACGAAAATCTTAACGCATTCCTCTACATTGTTTTCTTAGCATTTGAAGCAATGCGAGCAAGCAATTCCCACAGCGGCGACAATCTTTTCGCACTTTTTCTACATATTTTAATGTACAATCTTAAGTGCAAAGATTAGCACTATAAACAATTTAAATTTATATCTACTTAGTTCTGTGAATTGCGTATTTTACTTTTTATATAGCGTACATTATTGTAATTTATGAAATATATATAATACTAATTATGTTATTTATTTTTTTTGACTTTTTTCACGGCAAATTAAAAAATAAAAATGAAACATGAATGAAGTTGAAAAAAAAAACAAACCGAAGCATCTTTTTTTTTTTCTTATTGAAAAACATTGCCCTTACTTTTGAATAACATTATCCTATGTTATAAGGACGTTTTACAAAGATAAACTTTATGTGGACAAACACCCAGATCCGAAATAATTAGTTAGTGGGTCACACAAATAGTTGTCCCGTGTGGGAATCAAACCCACGAACCCAGACGCCGAAGCCGCCTTTGAGTTGCAACGCCACGGAATCATCAAGATCACATACGCTGTAACCACAATTAATCATCACCACTATAATCAAGTACATTTTTATATATCCGATACCAGAGCCTGTAGTTGCCTATCAACTGGCGCATTGAGAATTTATATATATTATGTCACTCGGTTCCAAGCTTGCCTAAGTTTAACTTTATGCTTTACTTTAGGCTTAACGTAAGATTCAGACAGAAAGACAGATATACATAAAAATATGTATATAAATTATAGCCTATGTTTTATTCTGATATATATATATATATAAGCTATATTATTGTAAAGTTTCATTAAAATCCATTCAGTAGTATTTGCGTGAAAGAGTAACAAACATCTATCCATACATACAAACTTTCGCTTTTATAATATTAGTAAGGATTAGTAAGGATTTAATAGCTAATAAGCACTCACGAATCTACCCCTTAATTTTCCTATATCAACAGACACTGTTTGCTGGAAAGAATGACTAGTAGCACAGCACATCTTTGTAATTCACCAATTAAAAGTTTTTTTTTTAAATATAAGTTTAATTAACAGTCATTATTAATTCGCTGCGATTGAGCCACTATTCAAAACCATAAATGAGCGTCGCAGATTGAGTTATCATAGGTTTCTTTTAATACTGTTCACTACTTTTTTTTTAATTAATTTTGCATAGTTAAAGAGCGTATTGTGAATAATCACATAAACGTAAAAACGTTTTTTTGTACTCCTATATTTGACTTGTTAATTATTGCACACGAATATTCCATTGTAGTTTTGTGTGTTATGGATTTATTCAACAGTTTTTGATGTAACTTTATTTATTGTCTATAAAAAAATTTAAGCTGCGCATATTGATTATTCTTTTTCGAATCAAATCAATTTTAAATATAGTTAAGGTGCTGTTAAAATATTTTTATTACTGTTACATAACTAATACAATGTAGAACTTTATTCCAACAGTTACAATTTTAACATAAATAATGCTCTATTTACTTATCTGGAGGTGTTTAATCGGCAAATGCGCAACCGCCTCACCTTATGGTAAGTGATCGCCTATACATCGGCATTCATAGCACCAGAAAGATGCAGCATTATGGCCAACACAAACAAGACACAAAGTACAAAATTCTCTCGCTGCTTGCAAGGGAAGTACGAAGGGAGCCGGTCCATTGCTGAACATGCGTAGCTCCTAGGACATAAGTGGGTCAGGCTTGTAGTCTCAGGCACATATAATAGGGCTGAGGTAACCCCTGCCTGTCATAAAAAGCGACTAAAATTCGACACAGACTGTCAATAATACGAAGCGGTCTCGAGCTGTTGAAGAAGGTGAGTTAATCGGGGAAGATTTATCCTTCTCCGAGGCGTGCTCACGCGCAGTACCGAGGGACACCGGAGCGTTCCGTAGGAGATCCTAGGTCCCTCCAAATTCACAGAATGTGGCCACCGAGGGGGTTTTAGCGGGTACGATCCCCACATAACCCTGTCATGAGAAACGATAGGGTATCGCTTGAAAATTTCTATCCTATACCAATAAAAGGGCTAGTTAGCTCGAGCGTGTTACCCACCGACGCAAAAGAAAAGGACAAAAGTGTGGTTTAGGTGGACGTGGTGTACCTTGGCACGGCGTACGGCCAGCATTGTGCGAGGCCACGGCGCGACATCTCCCGCACTACATCGCCGCACTAGCTCCACGCGCGCACCGCGCCGCCGACCGCAGCGGCCGACATTACCGAAACAAACACGGCGCGGGCCCAACGCCAGCCTTTTGCGGGCCGCAGGCGAACTCCCGAACGCTAGTGATGTGCCTTCGTCCTCCGCGCTCGAAACACTTTCGTACGGAAGTTGCAAACACTGTTATCCATCACACGTTCCGCGTTATAACAACAGTTACTCAGGTATTTGCAATAAATAAGTGTCACAGAAAGCAACACTAGCTTTGGAGCTGATATCATTTATTTATCACTCCTTCATCTACATTCCTTCAATGTAGTCTGTCGGAACATTTGACTTAAATTCATTTGACACAATAAACATTATAACGATTTGGAAGCTTTCTCGAAACTGATGATCGCAAAAGCTTTAATGTGGAAATGTCATAAGGTGTTTTATCTTATCGTACATTCGAAACTAGGTTTTGTGTTTGTGTCGACGAAGCGTCACAAACGCTTTTGTTAAAGCTGTTGCTAATTTGCGCAGTTTTTGCGCGTACGTAGGACTCATCTCTAAGGCGCCGGTAGCGCGCGGGGGGTCGAACCGGTCGGACGGGCCTCCTCCGGCGCGGGCGCACTAGTCTTGCGCCCCGGCCGCGCCCGCGCCCGCCGGTCACTCACCCCGCCAACACAACGGCGTCGATCATCGATACTTTTCTTTTATTTGTTACGCCAATTTTTTTCTTCGCCTCTCATTAAACCCGCCGTACGGCCGCCGCCGTTGCCGATAAGTAATACACGTTGCGTTTGGACGCTTTATCTTTCACTTCATCGCATTAAAAACGGAGCTGGCCACAGATTTATTGCAAATTGCATCGACCGCTAAAACTCTGGGGATTTTTTTCGGTATAATTCGTTGCGGAATTGGAATAACGCTGGAGCAATGAATTAATTATAATTATTAATTTCTAGGTGCACAACGTGTGCAGTAATAGATTTATAAATAATATATTTTTTAAAGCACCAAAATATAAGACGACCTAGGGAATGTTGAACATACGGACGTTAACATTCATCCCTCTGTATACACAACATTCAAATACAATAGTTTTTTTGTTGGAATCCACTTTATTGGAATATCTTTACCACTTTAGTTAAAACTACCACATTTTTAATTAAATATAAAAAAAAGTTATTTGTTTTGTAAATTTAGGCGAAAGATATATAATTCAAACATTCCATTTAGTTATTAAAACTTTATTAATTGTAACATATATCATACGTCATAACTATTATCGTCAATATGTAACTTTTGCAATTTTTATAGTGAATACTCCTGTCATGGTGACATCTCTTCGTTTTGTTATCTCCATTAAGTTTCTAGTTGTTAAGAAAAGTGAAAATCTAAGTGTAGTAAGAAATCTACACCTGTATATAACCTACTAGACCAGTATATTAGTAATTACATTAGTGTTTCCTTGCTGTGATAGCTCATTGTCCGGTCGCTCGCTTTTAATTCAATATACTCGAGCAAGTTGAGTTCGATCCCAGGTCCCGGCACCAACAAAACTGTTAATTTTAAGTGCTGACTTCACGTGCTCAGCGGCGAAGGAAAACATCGTGAGAAAACCTGCATATCTTACGAAATAATAACAAAAAAAAACATTACGAAGATATGTGAAGTCCGCCAATGCGCAGTGGGGTCGCGTCGTGGACTATGCCCTAATAACCTCTATGCAGGGGAGGCCTTTGCCCAGGAATACGACATATATACGCTGTTACTTTACTTTACTTATGCTTTGCTGAAATTTCGAAGTCAGCTATATAGGGACGTAATATTTAGTCATCATTGTATTACGCAACGAGTCTATAATACGAAATAGGCACGCACAACCCCTCTTTGGGGTAGCAGCCAAGCGGGGATCCAGCCGGCGTCATAAGACGCGCATAACAATCGCTCGCGCGCCTAGTTTCGAGCCGAGGGTTATAGCCGCGCTCGTAGTTTTCAACGGTTATGCTCGCCATAATATCGTATTTGTATTACGAAAGCAATGAGATATATTTATGCTGAGCTCGCGAAAATGTTCAGACCTCAGCGGTCGCGTTATGCCGACTTACAATACTTTTTGTATACCTACGGGTTTTGATATTATATATATATATATAGAGATGTAATGTTTAAATTTTGAATATATATGGTGGTTAAAACAAAATGCAAAAAATCATTTTGATATTTGAGTTGATTAATTGAGAATGATTGTACATATTATGGAAATATTAGGTGATTGTTTAGATCTGTGCATTTGGAGCCTGAGAGTGTCATATTTCTAATGTTGTTTTTCTTTTATGTGAGAAGGTGGCAAGGGAGACGGCGATTCACCTGATGTTAAGTGATAACTGCCGCCCATGGACATTTGCAACACCCCTAGGGTGTTGCAAATGTCCGTTGCGAACTTTTAATAATGTGGGGTCCCGATTACCTCTCTCACCAGAGGTAACGCAGGAGTGTCAAACTTCCAATTCTCGCTTGTTTTCTGTGAGGCCTTTGCGTGGCCTTATCAGTTGATATTACAGTTCAGTGGTATTAGTAATTTCAACATCATTTACAGTGGAAACAGCAAGGATAGTAAGTATAATAAATTATATATTTAAGCACTCAATGATATGATAAGAAATCTGATGTGTAATCCAAATCATATAATCACAATTGATTGGCATTTGAAATAAAAAAGTTATTCCCTATATTTAAAACCTAATAATCAAATTAAATTATCTATTCAACTCACGTTGATTACGGGCACAATAACCATTTTTTTACTATTGAAAATGTGCGGGAAGTCGATGGATGCAGGTGGCTCAGGATCGTACTTCGTGGCAGTCTATGGGGGAGGCCTATGTTCAGCAGTGGACTCAAACAGGCTGAAATGATGATGATGATGATGAAAAAAAAAACGACTTCAAATATGTCGCTCTGTATTCGTTTTACAATTGATTTTCAGGTGTTCCCTAAGTATCTCCGGAGCCCAAGATCCAATACCAATTAAATTAATATGGGACCACATGGGAAGCACCAGATTTCAAATAAAAAAATAATCATCAAAATCGGTGCACTCAGTAAAAAGTTATGGTTACCTTACTTAGGTTACATAACTTACAAATAAAAAAAAATACAGTCAAATTGAGAACCTCATTATTTTGAAGTCGGTTAAAAAATAAAAATCATCATTGTTAATGTCATTATGCTGGTCCGCATATTCGCGCAATGCGTGGTCTACTGTCAGTCTGAATATCCAATCATTAATCATTTAAAATTCCAATACGTTGATATGTTTTTACCTCTACGCTATATTTTAATTCAAATCACACATCAAAATGCAAAAGAGATAATGAAATCACTTTCTCGTTAAAGCGATATAATAGTAGTCAAAGATTATTTTAATTAGTTATCACAAAAATATAGCCTTAATCGTGAATTTATTAAAATATATTAACAATTTGTATTTTTTAATTTGTAAGACTCAATCGACGTGTCAATGATTATACAAAGTATAGGCACCGTGTACTTATTTCGCTAATTGAACAAAAATCTAATAAATAAGTCTCAGCCCAAAACGAAATGCAATTAGCTAATTGCTCCGTCTGGGAGGCTAGGCATAGGAGTTGGACCAATTTGGCACATTTGATTCATTTCGCTCACATCCTATGTGTAAACGGCGAACAATCACAACACGAGAGATTACAAGGCTTTGTAGCTTTTCAAGTTCTCGTGAGACCTTGGGTAAATTTATAAATTCAGTTTAGTTGTAAACTTTAATTCGCAAAATGGAAGAGGCAATACGTAAATGGGGCATAGGAAACTTCCTATATAAATCCGGTAGCGGTCATTAACTAGCTTGTGCTTGACTACAGTCTCTGCCTTAAATAATCTTCAATAAGTTATCCGTGTCTCATCGAAAGTTTTCAAAAAGTACTTAACCGAGTCATAGGGGGAATTCTGTATCAATGCCATCTACTTTACTTCCATGTTACTAAAACCTCGTCTTCAAACCCTGTTATCGACAATAATGAAATTATCGATTTTATACATTTTTGTACACTTAAAAGAGAAGCCTTCGCGATAAGTATGAATCATATACTTCGAAAATCTTCGAAATCGTTCATTGTGAATAAATCCTTTGTGCAGCAATGGGAGATGTATAGAACTTTGTCTAAACTTTTTTGTGAGAAGGTGGCATGTGAGCTGGCAGTTCATCAGATGTTACATGATCATTTGCAACACCCGTAAGGTTGGAGATGCGTTGACTCTTTAAAAGTGGGTAACCTCTTTCACCAGACGAAACGCAGAAATACAACATTTTCACTTCGAGACGGTCTTCTGTGACAGGACGAATTTGCCCATTTGTGAAACAGTAAAGACTGTTGCATGGAATTACCACACATAAGCAAAGTTGCTCCTAAGTTTGGTTCTTGTTCATTTTAAAAGGATAAATACCAATGTGAAAGAATTTTATTGTAACCGAAACTTGTAAACAATTAATTTAAAGTACTTTATTATCAATTAATTTATCAGTGGCTGACGTCACAATTAACTTTAATTTGAGACGCGCTTAGTTTAACTTTTTGATATTGTTAAGTCGTGGTTTACCCACCCTATTAAAAGAAAATAAGGGGTCTGTAATGTCCTTCACTATTTGAGGGATTCGGGAGCAGATATTAAAACGCGTTGAACCGCACCGCCATTTATTGACTGAATACATTACAATATTCTACAGACACGCATATACTCGTATGACAGGCTCAAAGTGCGATATATTATAGAGCTGAACGGCACCATAACAATGCTCAGGTACATACAAAAAGCCCTCGGGGTGACGAGACAACGATCTCGATGCGACCACTCGATGGTCACAATCTACTGGATGCGGCGCGACAGGCAGCTTCGAGCGCTACGTACGCTACGGTGAAATTTGCATTGGAAATTAATGGTTATTTAGCTGTCGATATCGCCGTTAGTGGCTACTAGCGACCGTTAAATATTTCATCCGCTCTCAGATAAACCTGAACAAGTGAATTGAATTGGCAATTGAGCGGTTTGAATAAGAATATATTTATTGATACCGTTAAGAAAGAGACGTGGTTGCTCATTACTTAGAAAATACTATAGAGTTCTTTATAATATTTCTTCGAATTCTTCATTGATTCTGTTAAAATTCTCGGAACTGATTAACCTTGTGGCACTTTCTCTTACTATGCGCTCTGTCCCGATAAAATTTTATGTAGTAAGACTTAGGGCGCATAGCTAAAGCATCGTAAGTGAAAAGCATGAACTATGTACTTGTATGAACATTATATTTTTGATTTTATTGAAGTAATGTAATGATTTTTGGGATTAATTTTTTGATTTTAAAAATATTGGACTTCTACAAAATACGATTATCTATTGTAATAAAAATTAAAATTATTTCAATTAAGTAAAGATCTCAGCATAATACATTAAATATTAATAATACAATAACGCAACGTTGGTAACAGATAATATAGTAATTTATTGGATGTATTTATCTACCAAAATAATTTAAAATCTCTAAATAACACATGGAGAGACATTATCCCTTAAACTGATAACAAACATGAAATT